AATAGAGTGATTAGGGGCAAGGGTTTTGAACAGGAGAGGACAATGGTCGGATTCCCCTCTAGGAAGGTGGGCCAACGAATGAAGGGTGAAGAAGTTGTCAAAGCTGTCATTAAATAAAATCTTATCTAGCTGTCTCCAGACACGTCCATTGGATCTAATCCCTGTCCAAGTGAAGGGGGGGCCGGTGAATGAACTTTCTTGAAGTTCACTATCCAGAATACATTGTTGAAATCTCCCAATTTCTCTAAGGTTTGGATCACTTTTCCCTTTGTGCTGATCAGCTGCAGAGATAGCATTAAAATCACCACCAAGAACCCATGGCTTTGAACCAACCTTTTTAGCAAATTCCACAATATCTGAAAAAAGTAAGCTTCGATTGCCTTCATCATGAGCTCCATAAACACCTGAGAGATAGATATGAGCATTGGAGCTATTGAGTTTGAACAGACAGTGAAGCATATGTCCATTATCTTCGCTGGAAATGAGGCTGAAAGAATTTGCTTTCCAGGCCACCCATATTTTATTAGATGAGCTAGCAAGGATATGGTCCATTCTCAGCCTAAATTTATAAAAATCCATCTTCTTTTGATGAACAATTGGTTCTATAATGAATACAACATCAATGTTGTGAGTTTTAATGAGAAGAGAAAGCCTCTGAACTCGGGATTCAATCCCATAGACATTCCAAAAGATTGATTTAATCATGGTTTTGTTGGGTAGAATTCATATGAAGTCTAGACCTGGTCCGACTAGCTATAAAACTGTTGTCTGGAGTATTTGCCTTGTTGTTTCTCAGTTGCACTTCACTGTCTGAGAGTGATCCCCTGTACTCCTCTTCAAAATGATGATGGTCTTCGTTTACTTGTTGGGAGGATTCCAGTGTGTCTTGAGCCATGTTTTTTCCAGCCTCATTGTTCTCCTGCGGGTTAATGCCCTGAGCACTTGAAAGATTCAAAGTTTCTACAGTAGCATCATTGTTATTTTCCTGGTTATGGACATCCTTTAGTTTCCTGGTTAGTTTCTACAGCATCTGTAACCATCCTTTCCTCTACAAAGTTATGGACTTCTGGAATTGTAACGGATCCTTTAGCTTGAATTATAGTACCCTCCTCCTCTGTTCTATGGACATCAGATGATGATGAACCTATCAGCTTGGAGGCTTGATATATAGCCCTCTCCTCCTCAGTTTCAGATGATGGCTTAGTAGCATCCTTATCGCAGTGGACTTCAGGTGATGATGATGAACATATTAGCTTGGAAGCTTGATTTATGGCCCTCTCCTCCTCAGTTTCAGGTGAGGGTTTATCACCCTGTGAGTTTGAGGGTCCTGCCTTTGAGTTTTCTCCACCACTAGTGCCCAATTTAGTTCCTTTTCTC